AATCCTTTGTGCAGCAGAACACCTTTAGTGTAGGTGGCATTTTCACACTACTTGGCCTGACAGTGCAGCATTTGAGAAAGCCTATCTACAGTGCTTAACCTGGTGACACATTCTGCTGAGTCTGCATGAATGAACAGTTTTAGATAATTAGCACAGCCAAACATATTTTCCAACAATCATTATGTCGGCAGGTTAAAAAATTAAATGCATTCTCTAAACATAATATCAGAAGAATCTTCTGTTTTTCTCACACTTAGGTAGGTTTAGGTGACATCAAGTTAGAGAAATGCAAATGTTAACTTAATTAACAGTATGGCAAGTTGGGGAATTCAAGCACTGCTTTAAGTGCCAGCATTGTTAGACTTTAGTTTTATTTCAATGCATATTGATGACATTGTTTGCACTCTGCTGCCTACAGCCTCAGTCACCCCTCATAGTGCAAGAATTACCCGAACCAACACCATACAATAGCAAAAGGGTGCACGTGTGGCATGCAATAATTCTTTTTTATAATGTGTGTGTCGTCAGGACTAAACTTATAAACAACCGCCAACCTGACCTTTCTTGTTAAGAATAATTACCTTTAATACAGCAACTAACAGAAAAGTTCTGTGTAACCTAATGTAGGGTAGTGACATTAAATAACCTTAAATGGTAGCACCTACAGTATGAAGTCCGAGGAAACATTTTTCTACACACTATATCATGAAGTCAAATATATAGTGTACACTTCTTGTTGTACTGTAGCTAATGGTATAAAGGGAAATTAGGTGCTGTATATTCCTGACCTCCCTCTTAGCAACTACCACCCTTGCTGTTTATTGAGTTTAATATTCAAACCCTAAGACACCGTTTATGGCTATACTACTGCATTAAATGGAAAGTTCTTGACAACTTGTGCATAATATATTACATAATCATTGCAGTTCAGCATTAATCTTTCTCCTGTTTGGAAAACTAATGATGTGAAACAGAATTTGAAATTAATCTCTGGTGGTCTGCACAGTGCTTTCATACACCGATCGGGCACAACATTATGACCACTGGCAAGTGAAGTGAATAACACTGACTATCTGTTACAGTGGCACCTCTCAGTGTGTGGGGTGTATTGGGCAGCAAATGAACATTCAGTCCTCAAAGTTGATGTGTTGGAAACAGGAAAAATGGGCAAGTGTAAGGATCTGAGTGACTTTGACAAGGGCCAAACTGTGATGGTGAGATGACTGGATCAGAGCATCTCCCACCCTGCAGGTCTTGGTGGGTGTTCCTGGTCTGCAGTGGTTAGTACCTACCAACAGTGTCTAAGGAAGGACAAATACTGGCGACAGGGTCATAGAACGCCCACAGCTCACTGATGATGAGATTGACCTACTGTAGATTAAACTTTTACCTTCCATTTGTACTTTTCAAATGATTAAAATTCATTTGAAACTTTGTTAAAATTGTTAAAAATGAGAAATACTGTACATTGGTCTCTATGAAGAGAAAGAGTCAGGGGCTGTAGTGGTGGTATCACACCTAGAGTGGTGGGGCTGTTGAATTTGTCTAAAAAAAGATCTCTAACTTGTCCTCACAACCAGTTTTCACTCCTTTTACACAAGTCTTTCACTGAATTGTGGACACATCTGTGCCGTTCCTGACAGTAGAACTGTGGAAGCAAATGGATTCACAGAAGATGCACAGTGAGCTGCAGAGTGACATGAGTGCCAACCAGCTGCCACATTGACTCCTATGTAAACAGTATTAGGCAGGTGGTCATAATGTTATGGCTGATCAGTTTATGTGGGTCAGGTGGAGTTAAAGGATCCAGCCAGTAATTTTCTTTTTGGTTATTTTCCCATAGAGAGACTAATACCAACAATGAATTTCATTTACTCACTCTAATGCCTGGGAATCCAGAACCTTGTTCCACTTATTTGTCTGTACTGTAGACCTCCACTGTTGGCCAAAAATGATTAAAAACACAAGTGAGCCACACCGCCTCAATGGATAAGCTGTGTCTTCTTGGCTGTTGAGGTCCGTCTTTTTTTCAGTGCTCCAAAGGCAAAGAACAGCCATTACGTTTTACTGTCTCTCAAGTTAAAAAGTCTACTATGTGTGCTCTGCTCTGTTCATACTACTTCACTAGCTTCTGGAATTGAAAAAGTGAAACCTGGTTCTGGGTTCACAGGAAAATTCATTGTTGGTATTAGTCACTGTATGGGATTAAGGGTAGAAAATGATCTGCTTTATCCTTTAAGATGGTGAAATCAGTGTTTAGAGTTTGCATGATGTGTAAAATATCTGAATGACGTAACAGAGTTTAGGCTATGTTGATGGCAAAGGTCTTGTTAACAGACATTTATAAGTGTCAGAGTCATAAAAGCACAAGTGTCATTAATAACATTAGTAAGGGCTGCATTTGATCGAGGTTTGCCAGTTCCAGGGCTTTGTAATTGATACCTCACTGGTATGGCTTACTGAGAGATTTAAATAGAATCAAGTCATCCTACATGTTATTAGTCATGCATGATATGACATGGTAGGTCTGTTGTTGATTTATCTTTATATGCTGTGGACTTAAATGTGCACATTTAAATCATGCGTACACTTTGAAAAACATAAAAGTTGTGTAGTCAGGACAAGACTTTCCAATTCTGTATTAGGCCCTATTTGACATTACTGTAAAAATGTCATATTCTCTCCTTTTCTACAGTTTTTAACATGTCTGCCTTACTTAGGCCTCATGCTGGAGAGGTGTTTCGGTTAAGGTTTGGCTGCCTGATGCACTGAGTTCACTGGGCTGGAGGAGGATCCTCAAAGTGAAGCATTTTGCAACGATTTAACACTACAACACAAATTCCATTACACATTGTGTAGAAATGTCTTGACTTCATTTTAAGAAACTACTTACAAAGGTATTAATTTTCTGTTATTTTGTTAAACTGAAAGGCTGGTTTTGGGAAGAACATTCCTGAGGAATCTGTCATTGACATGCAGCCTAAAACAGAACCAAGGACATATTTTCTTTCTATTACTGTTGTTTGAGGTTTCTATAAAAAGCAATGGAATGGCTATTGGCTCAGAAGATAAGCATGCTGCCCTGTGAAAACATTCTGTGCATATCTTAATCATGACCATTTATCAGTTTGTAAAACAATTGCTTAACCTAGGCTTCCACTGCATAAAAAATAAGAGAAGGGATAACAGTACTATATTCCACAAACTTGAAAATAAATTGATGCATAATCTCAGAATGCAGCAGGACAGAAATGCACTGTTTTCAGAGTACACATAAATACACAGTATGACACACATACACTGAGGGTGCAACACTGACTTGGACAATGTGAAGGGCATTAATAGGGGCACATGCACAGAAATAAACATGCTTTTGCGGTCAGAGCAGTGAAATTATTATTTACAGATAGGACTATAATGACTAACACAGCACAACATCTCACTTGTTTTCCTTTTCCAAACACTAACATTAAAAATCCAGATATGGAAGCAGTGATTCAAACCTAAACATCCAAGCGATCATTGTACAACAACATATGTGGGTGTGAGGACTGTAAAGGCATGCTTGATTGGAACTGGTTTCAGTCGTGTTTCTAAGCAACATTCACATCCACTGCTCTTCCCCTTCTTTCTCTCATACCACCTACGACTGGCAGTTTTAGAGAGGAAGAGCATTTCACTCCAAATCCATCAGTCTCAAGTTATTTACAAGTCTTACTGTTACAGTACAGGTTTTGGCTGGAAAATAAAACAAAAGCGAGACAGATATACAAGCATTTTAGAGATGAACTACTGTGACCTTGCAGCCCAATCCTGGACTACATTTTCTTGAACAATGAACACCATTGTACTCCCCCACATAGCTGACTGAATTTACAATAATTTACCAATATAGGGCTGTAAGCTCATTCAGATTTGCAGGCTGTTAAATATTAAATCACGCACCAGGAAAACCAGTTTTGTGGTTTTCCACTAATAAACAGTATTCTTTATTCTGTATAAATGTTCATCGTGTTCTACAGGTGAATAACAGGTGGTTTCATTTGCTCTCCAAAAGCAGACATCCGCTACACAGTAATCCATACTCTAGTTATGCTTGCTGTATTGTGGATATAAAGCAGGGCTGTACTCCACCTAATTCTTCCTCTGTGGGACAGTCTTTCTCTCTTTAACCAGAACTCATCATCCTGCCCTCCCACAAACTCTTAATCTCATGGAAACTGTCTACATACATAAACTGTCTCATTTAGTATTCCTCACTCCATTTGCTAACTCCTCTACTTCTGACACATTATTCATCCCCTAAAATGTACCCCATATATCCAGCAACCCTCCAGACCTTTCCTGTCTGGCATTTTTCTCTGTGTCATTGTGATCGCTATGACAAAGCACGAGTCAGATACTGTGGAGACATCTCACTTCCTGTGAGTTTAGAGTATCTGTGACCAAATTAATGATAGAACCAATAGGAGTTTCTGAAGGATTCATATCTAAACATGACCGTGGCCCTTGAAGAATTAATTTTTAAAAAATCCTCATCACTATCACCTTCCAAATTGATTCAACATGAAAAGAGTTTGGTTTCTGTCCTGTCTGCATGAAAGTCTGTTTCATATCAGTAACACCACAAATCATGGTTTCTCAACCTCATGACCACATCTTTAGGTCCTAAAATTCTCATGCCACCTACAATCAGAGCTGACGAATTGTCATGTGAAATTGACATATCTTTTCCCTTTACAAGAATGTGGAAGAAGCTCTAAATGGATACACAGTCACATTATCATTAAAATCTGTTTGCTTTAGCCCATTTATATTTTCTTAAACAAAATACCAACAAGCCATGGGCTCCTGCTGACCCCAAGTTTGAGAAAATGTGCCATAAATCATCAGCAGCTGCTCAAGCACTACATACATGGACTGACTCAGCCCTGCAGACATACACATGTGCACACACACACACACTTTACATACCCATGGACATGTGTTGCAGTACTTACATCACTTTTTCTAAACTTGGCTTTAAGGCTCTTCATGTTCGGTCCAGTCCATGCAGTCAGTCACTCAATCACTCAGTAAAGGCTGTGGAGCAAAAAGACACAGATGTTTAAACTCAGCCTCAGTAATGTTTTGCTTCCATTTCAAATGTATTTGTGTCTGATAAAAAATTAAACTACCAGACTTGCTAAGTATTTTGTGTTGCTATATCCACTCACATTACAGTCAATATGAGGTATACTGTAATTGTGCAATGCAGCAGCAGGGATTCATCATGGCAATACTCTGCAGCACTAGTATGTCCACATTCCCCTCTGAAATATGTTGTTCATTAAACATTTACTGTAAATATTCCTCTCCAAGTAAATGGCAGTTTTGGGAATGGATTTAGCATAACACATGTAATTCTAATTCAAGTCTGTTGCTGGAAATAGCATCCAGCTTTGTGTTGTTTTCTATAAGGATGTTTTAAATCACCACAAAACCCTTGGAAATGTCTAGTAACTGTATTTTTGCCCCATAACTGCCTCATGCAAATTCCAGTTTTACATGGCTGAAATGACCTTATCAGCGATTTACCTCCAAAATATCTGGGTGAGGACTC